TCAAACATCACCTAATTTATTTACTTGTAGGTAGAATATAATTATGAAAAATCAAATTAGATTTATTTTAATGACAATAAATAGTGGAATTATTCCTTTTCAGATTGAAGTCGGAAAACACTTTTTTTTTTTTTATAGAATCTTTATAACTAGAAAGGTAATAACAAAAAGACTTATTAACATGCTTGCAGTAGCGTAACTAGAACCGATATTGAATTATAATGTGCTCTAGATACATTCCTATATTACTGTGAATGTGACTACTAGCCTTGTGGATGAAGAGTAAACTCTTATAAACTCTTAGATATTGCGTTTATCACATTCAAATCTTTTTCTGTATTTATTTGATTTTTTTTCTTCATTTATTTATTTACTTACAAAGATAGGGGAACCAGACACTCTGCACTCTAATTATGCTACTGTTTGTTTGTATTTAAATACATTTATTCCTTTTAAACTTTGGCAGATGAATTTCGAATTTCTCTTGTCATCTCTTTAAAAAGCTGTTTATATCGAGTTTCTAACAAATAGAATTGAGCGTATTTTTCTCCCGATTTGTTTTGTCTTAAACTTAGGAATAGAAAATGGTTTAAAAATAAAACGTTTATTGTGACAATTGGGCTGCAATATGCTCTCCATCTCAGATTAGTAGTATCTTGCACCTGTATATAATACTTTTCCTGTTAGCAAGCCCCTGTACATCATACTTTTCTGTTAACAATAGAGTCATGTCGTCATCTATCTAATTCCTTACAGAAGAAAAACTTTTGAATTGAAATAACGTGACTTTCGGTTTATATCGGAAGTTCGTATATAGTTAATCGGGATCAACTGTCCCTAAGATTTCCATATCTGGTGTCGTCTTTCATTTATTTAACTTCGTTCTCGAGATTAAGGAAAGACAGACGAACAGACCTACGATATGGGAATTTATGTCTACAATTTTTTAAATTGCATCCCAATAATAATGATAATTCTCAGTTAAAAGTAAACTAAATATTTTTCAAAATCAAATAAATATCAAGTTATTATTTTAATACATTAATTTCTTCTATAATATCCATTATTAAACAAAGAAAATACAACAAATATGTAAAAAATTTTGTAATTCAAGGGATAGAGTAAGGTGTGGGTTCCCCTATCCTTCCACCTCTTTAAAACGTTAAAAAAGAAAGAAAAGGTATAAAAATGAAAGATAATGAGATGTTCAAAAAAAAAAAAAAAAGGAACAAGGAGGAATGAACGTCTATTTGGTGAAAAAATAGAAGTCAATGAGTTCACCTACCTAGGAAGCATAATTATCTCAGACGGAAGGAGTGCGAGATGTTACAGCAAGAATAGCCAAGCAAAATAGGCATTCTATAGGAAACGACAGATGTTAACATCGAAAAATATATCAATCGATGCTAGGAAGCGATTCATTAAGAGTTTCATCTGGAGCATAGCATTGTACGGTTCGAAGACATAGACACTCTGAGCAGCAGAGAAAAGAAAACTGGAGACCTTTGAGATGTGGTGCTGGCGAAGAATGACGCGAGTGTCGTGAACGGAGAGAAAGAGGAATGAGGATGTGTTTGGAAGAGGCAACAGAGAAGAGACAGATTTTGAGAACGATAGAGAAATGACATGATTGGCCACCTAATTCGACACTCGTAATGGATGAATGTTTTTATTGGAAGGAAAGATAGAGGACAAAAGGGAACGTGGATGACTCAGTGTGACTAGTTATTACGGAAAAGGCCTTACCAACAGATGAAAACAGCTGGTTAAGCAAAGAGGGAAGCTATAAGACTGCACACATGCTTCATGGGATCTCTCTAAATTTAAATTAGGGACCCATTTACAGTGTTGACTTTAGACATTTTTCTTCGAGGGAATTTTTGAAGAAATATTTTCTTATAAAAGACTGGTTCGGGGTTCCAAGTAATTGCCTTTATTGTCCACGGGATAACGCTCCACTGTTTCGTCTTAACGTTTGTATCTTTTCACATAATATTATAAGAGGATTAGCTTTTAAAACATTATTATTATTATATAAAGAACGATCACAGATAGCGACGCGTTATCCTATCAGCAAAAGGACAATTGCCTGAGAGCCCACCAACAGGGAACCCCAAACCAATCATTTATAAGAAAATATTTTTCCAAAAAAATTTCCCAGAAGAAAAATGTCTGAACTGTACGTGGAACCAACCCCCTAATTCAAATTTGCCTGGACTCCGTGAAGCCATAAACGCGTCACTGATCACAGAAGATATTCGTAAGTTAATTTTTATTTTTTTAATTTTCTACACTTACACAAATTTTTAGAAAGATAATTTCCGTTATGTAACTAACCTTATGAAGTGTCATTATGTAAATAATACGTAAGTCATCATCACGAGAGATAATTGATGATTGGATTTTGATACTATCTTATTTAACTACATAGATGATTGTGCTATTGCGTCAGTAACAGTAATATCATTATCATATTAATTCCGTGAAATTGTTAATTTTTCTATTTTTATATTTAATCAGTTTGTAATTTCCTTTGACTTAAAACTTTAGTAATTTTCTTTGTTTTAACCATTCAACAAATACGTCCTTCTATAATAAAAATCTGGTAAATATTTTAAATTTTTATTAAAAATATTGTTTCATTTTAATTATTTTAGTTTATAATTTGTCAGCATAACTACAATTTTTATTTATTATTTTTATTTTCATTTTTTTCAAGTAATAATTTTACTTAAAATGCAAATCATATGGCATTTTAATAGGCCTATATATTCTATTAGATTTGTTAAAGTTCTGGCGTCAAAGTCGGAAATACTTTTTAAATACTAGTGAAAAATATAAAAATATATATGTCTCTAGATTCTAAATAAAGTTTTGTTTTTATTGATGCTACCCTCAATTTATTTAATCTTTAATGAAATTTAAAAATTATTAAAGATAAAATGAGCAATTATGTATTGCGACAAGCCGGGGTGCAATTTTAATCATATTTTTTAATTTATTTAATTTAAAATATATACTCTCCGCCTCAAATTAGTAGTGGCTTGCCCCTGTTCATCATACTTTTCCTTTAACAATATAGTCGTGCCGGTGATCAATCTAACTTCTTTCGGGGGGAAAGTTTTGAATTGAAATAGCATGACTTACAGTTTGCATCGGAAGTTCGTATGTAATCGGGGCTCCCTGCCCCTAACGTTTCTATATTTTGTCTTGTCTTTCATCTATTTATTTCTTTCTCGAAATTAAGGAAAGGCGGACGGACGGACGGACGACATTAGGAATTTACAAGTTTACAATTTTCTTCAAATTGCAGCCCAACTATCATTGTAAAAATAATTTCTAATTTCTGTTTTACCACTAAGGGCTGTTTCACACTATGACCGACTGGACCGACTGATTCGACTCCAAGTCGTGTTGCCGTGGCAACAGCAGTCGGCCGACCGACTGGTCATTCCAGTCGGACAGATTTAAAAGTTAAATATTTGTAGTCGGGTCGGAGAAGTCGGTGAGTTACAGCCAATGAGAGCTTCGAAACTACAACCAGTCAGACTTTGGATATATGAAAACTATCGAATCAATCAAACATAACTTTATATATGTTACCGCTAAAGCTCGAAACTCGTTAATCTGCACATTACCTAGGTAATTTGAGAAATAGAACAATTTTAGCAACTTTAACGGATCATGCTAGTTAATCTGCAGATTAACGAGTTTCCGAGCTTTAGCGGTAACATAATATATTTCTAATTTATTTAAATTTCCCTTGTACTGTACCTTATTTCTGTCATAACTACTTAAATTTTATATGGGAACACAAATGACTAATATATATATTAAAAAACATTATCGACGTAATGAGAAAAGATGGTATTATTTAGACTTTTCGGAAGAATTTATAAACGAAATAAGATAATTTCCGCAAAGTTTAACCAAGTAGTTTACAAAAATATTTTTAAAAATTAGAAAAACTTATAACGATTTCTAACATTTGTTCCGATTGGTCCTTACAAATCGGCCACTCAATGTGTATTCTTCTATTACTAGTCGGTCCGATTATAGGATTGTTCGGGTCGGACCAATCGGTCCAGTCGGTCATAGTGTGAAACAGCCCTAACTCGTAAGAATTTGGACCATCCATTAATTACGCGTACAAGTTTTGACACTTCCCTCTATTGTGTACAATTATGTACAGTACTTTTGACAATTCTCTTTTCCTTTAATTATGTTTACAGTAGTTCATAAACAATACTGACATTGATAAACTTCTACAAATATTTTCTGATAGATTTTTAACACTACTACTAAGTAGACTTAATAAAAACAAATTCGTAGCCATTAATACCTCTAAAAAAAAGTATGTAGACAATTCCTTTTCTCCTTTTTATTCTATGTTATGTTTTATTCTATGCTGCCTATTATACAGAAAAGCAAAATTATTTCAAATAAGCTTAATCATTTTTAATTAAATTTTGATAACAACTTTATTAAAATTCTTTTAATAGTCATTGGAATCAGCATCCGAATCATCACATTAGCTTGCATCTATTACCAAAGGCTTGCAAAATTCTTCCATAATTTAGTTTATGTCCTAATACATGTAGTATTTTCCAGTTTTAAAGTGTAATACTTTTAATCACCTTGTAAGAATTTAAAAAGGTTCAAAATATCAATATCCCCAGTTACGTTGAGATGAATAAAATTCCTCAACTTTGCTGAAACATACTCAATGGCATTAATACTGCGATGACATGGTAAATTATTAATCGTGTTTTAAGATCAAACAGTTTATAATTTGTTTTTGCCGTATTCGATATTCATAGTATACTAACCTTAATTAATTAAACTTAACAAATACAACTCTAAATCCGCCATAAAAAAGACTCGAAAAAAGGGAGGATCTTCATTAATAAACCCAAATACAAAATACAGAAAACATCGCTATTACACAAAGCTGTAACTATTGAAAAAAAAATACACTGTTAGACTTACACAATACTGACCTTGATATAAAGTAGTATATATAAGAAACAGACAGTCTAGGGATGTGAAGGAGCTCCAACGTAGACATCCTAATAATCATTAGTCAAGATCACATTGAAAAAAACTGCGTCAAACTGCTGGCTAGCTCGGAGATGCCACTGTGCAGTGACTTGTATGATTGTCATAAAAGACTAGGTAATAAATACAAAAACTAGTGCAAACTCATTTTAAAAGACATAACACTTACAGAACGACATATGTATGAAAATTCCACATCAAGCATGAAACTATAATATATATCGAATTGCAAACCTTTAGCACAAACAGACCATTTACAATGGCATGACCAAATAAAAAAAACATATAAAAACAATAATACATCAAAAATTTACACACCGACACGAACTATTTCACGTTCAGCGATTATATTATAAATCTATATAACACACAGCCTTAAAAAACAATGCACACACAAAATATACTATGACCAAGTTATAATTATAGACAAAAATATCCATCCCAACAAAGCAGATTGACAAATAAAACAAAATCACATACATCATAAAAATAGCCATTTAAAACATACACAACATAGAAAATATCAATAAATAAATGAATAAATAAATAATAATAATAAATATGCAGAACTCGTACCATACGCCATATAAAATACATAAAACTAGAACATTAGGCAAACAGCAGCACATACATCACATTACAGGAAATAGCCAAACTAAACACGCCACATAGGAAATTATTAATTTCTGTACTGTACCGTACCTATACCAGCAGCACCTAAGCAACTTTGTTTTTGGTCTATAGATATCAAAAACAAAGGTCCAGCATAGCACTAGACTTTCTAAGGGAAACTGACCCTTATTTGGATATTACAAATGTGAAACAGGGAAAATGCCACGTGGACAGCCCGTTGGCGAGGTATGAACCCACGACCAACTACCAGTGTTCAGTCGTTTTTATCCAGTCGTCAAATAGCATACATTGATGCGTAATTTAAGCATACATTAAAAACAGAAGGCGGGGATGGAAAAACGGAACAAAACATTTAGATACTTTTTTTCATTTTTTACTTTCCCGGCTCAGTTATATTATATATAACAGAGGAAAAGTATGGTATCGGTCAAAAATTGACCCTCCCGAGATTTTTACATTTTTGGACAAATGGACTTAGGACACCTTGAAACGTCGAGAAATGGGAAAAATTCGGGGTTTTTTCTGTATGGATGTTAGTATGTTTTTGTGTGTGGTACGATTTTGTTCACCCTCTTTGAAGCTTAATAACTCCTGTACTTTATGTCGAAAATTTCTGAAATTTTGTAGGGAGGTTTGTGTATTAGGGGGATTGATGCTATTTAATTTTGGTGGTTAAAGGTCAAGGGGGTGGGGAAATAAAGGGGATCGTGTGTATCTCCAGTAGGATCTGAATTAATGACTATTTTACTCGTTATTAGTATTTACAATTTGTAATAAAACCCACCCTACCCTCAAAATTAAGCTTTTTGCAATTTTACAATAGTTAAAAATATAAAAAGGTTTTTAATAAAATATCGTAACAAATGACACCGCCAAATGTTGCCGGGAAAGTTAAGCAACTCGTTGCTGGCTTTTCTATTCTTTCCATTCTGTGGACACTAAGAGGGCCTTTTAATCATACTCATTATGGGTTCGGGCAATAGCCAAAATGGGGGGTTGGGTACAAAGCCCGACATATCTGAGACAGACTATTGTAGAAAAAAATCCTGGGGTTTTTTGACTACCCAGATTCCATTCTAGATCCCTAGAACCGCCATCCGACTTTTCAAAACTCCAAATTCTTTTATCTGGAATTATTTTGAAAATACTTTAATCGCTCTAATCATTAATTAAGTTCCTATATTTATCGTATCAAAATTATAAATAGTAATGATTTAAAATGATATCGCGAAATCTAAATATTCGTAATTGAATTCGCCCAAAATTTCGTAATTCTCTTAAGTCTTTGTGCATACATTAAATTAGATAAACATCACTGAGTTTTATTTTATTAATATATTTCAGAAATTTATATTAATAATGATATCCGTGCAAGTTTAGGCAGTTTTACGTAAAGTTTTACGTACTTTTTACTTTTAATGGTAGAACGAGAAGCATCTTACTGCGGAGAAAACAGGATGTTACAGAAGCAGGCTATAATTAAAACGGAATGAAAAATATGTACACTTTTTATTTTTATGTCACCCTCGTCTTTATGATTGACGTAAATGAAAATTTCTATTATCCACTAAAAACAATAAACACAGTGCTTATTGACATCCATAAGGGGCTGTCCATAAATGACATCCACACTAGAGGGTATAGAGGAGAAAAGGATTAAAAGTCGGACAAAGTCAGACAAGGTGGAGGGAAAGGGTTGAGTTTTGGTGAACGTCCAGTTTATTTCATCAAATTTCACGTATTTTATTATATTTATTTCAAAATTTCTTGTGTGTTTTGTTTCTGCTTATGGTATCTATCATTCATAAAGTGATGAAGGTTTTAAGGGGAAATCGAATTTTGTTGGACGTCCGAAGAGGGGAGGGGGAGTAAAAATTTTACGAAAAATTTGGACGTAATTTATGGACAGTTCCCAAGTGCAAAATCGAAAGAGCGCTTTTCAAGAATGTGCCGACTAAATGAGTGCCAGGAGAAAACAATAGACAAGAGTACAAAGAATATATGGGTACTTAAAACAAAAGAACGATAATCATTTAGATGTGAACACACAAACTTTAAAAGCAAATAGACACAAGAACGAAGAACAAACAACATACTCCATCGTGCCTTTGACTTAAAATAAAAAAAAAAGAGCAAAATTTTTCTTCAATACAATTCAAATAATTATAATTCCATTTTTCAGATATTTCTGATATTTTATAACTCTTCACACTGTGGACATTAAAAATGCTGTTTGTTTTAGCAAGCCCACTATGGGTTCGGCCAGGCCTACAATGAGGCGGTCGGGTGCTGAGAAACGGGGCCTCGACATATCCAAACGGACCAACCCCGAAAATTCTCGGGGTCACAAACCCCAATCCACAAGAGCGGCAGGATGCCATCTTAACGGTTTTGTAATTTGTACTATTCAATTTTTCTTACTCGTCGAACCGAGTAGAGAGTTGTTTATTCAGCGTTGCTTTTTAAAAATCAGTTTCTTCCGTGAATACTAACAGAGTTTCCTTTCCTTTCACCTTTCACTTTCACTCTTTCCTTTCATCACAGATTCAGTCATGCCACTATTGCAGTGATTTTCAACCGGAGTGCTACGAGAGGATCGGAGGTGTACCGCGGAAATTTAACTATAGGTTCAAGTGTGCCGTGAGATATAAAAGATTGAAAAACACTGCGCTATTGGGATAGTCGGTTGGTGGGCAAAGTATACACAATACATCTGGATCAGAAAATTCATGAAAATTTCTAAAGATTCTTAAGAACTTACAAGCATTTAGAATTATCTAAAGGATGTAAGTACACTTAGACACATTATATATACAATCAGTGGATAATGTATTCTAGCTTCTAAAACGTATTTTTAAAGCCATATTGTAAAATAATCGAAAATTCGTTTTGACGTCATTTTATGCAAATTCTTGTGTTGTGAAATAAATACAGCTATTCAGTATTTAAAAAATTAAACAGGAATTCTATGTAAATTGAATCATTTGATTTTTGTGTCATCAAATAATATAAATATTAGTATTAACTAATATTTATATTTACTGTATATCTGTAATTATTGATCGTGTGAAATGTGGTAGATTGATTCATTTAATAATTTTAATCATTAATTTAGTATTTGGTGAAAAGAATATGATTTTATTAGTAACATATATTAAAAGAGACGAACAAATATTTATTGTGACATCGTCACAGTGCCGGGCTGCAATTTTTAATCATATTTTAAATTTATTTAACTTAAAATATATGCTCTCCACCTCAAATTTGCAACGTCTATATAAATAGTCTGGACACGAAGGTTACCTTATATATGAAGCCGCCATTTTGTGGCTTTTTGAATAGTGCAGGTTTTAAACAAACTTATACTAGCAGTTAGTTTTATACGACATTAAAATGTCAAAATTAAAAAAAAAATTTAATTTCCGATTTATCAACATAAATAGTAAAATACCGAATTGAGATGCATAAAGGTGAAAACTATGAAAAAGTTCTNCCGAAAAAAACATGACCAAAAATCAGTAATAATATTTCTAAATATTTCCAATATGTATGTATAAATGCATTGTAGCGAGATAGAGATGAGCCGCCCCTTAAAAACTTATCAAATATATAATTTAATCAGTAATTCTATTTATAAATAATATTTCAAATCCGTTTGTTTAAGTGCATTGTAGTAACAAAAAAGCGTTATTTATATCTAAATAGTAAAGCTATTGAAACAATTTTCTATGTTCTCCATTTTTCTTTAAGTAATCTATATAAAAAAGTTATCATTATAATGATCAACATGTCGATATCATCACTCATATAATGATTTTACGAAAAGTATTTAAAATGCTGAATTAGTCATTTTTATGTCAAAATTTAGAAAATAATTCTCTAATAATATTGATATCTTTTAATGTAACTTACGCAAGTAAATCTCAATAATTCAAATTTATAATTAAACTGTTGTCATGCATTTCAGTTGTGAAATAATTACATTACGTTAGGTGATAGAAATGATAAAGCTTTTATTAATTAAAATTAACATTAATTGCATAAAAATCGATTTTATTCTATAATTATTTAAGTAATATTTAATATTTATTTAATATTTAGAATTTTGTAATCTTTGAAACTTATCAATTCGGATATATCGACGTTATAATAAATAAGGAGCCATCCATTAATTACGTAAACAGTATAGTGTAAGCGAGTAGAGAACATCATTGTACACGATGGGGAGAAAAGGGAATTCTACGTAGCCTTTTTAGTGGCATTGTTGGCATGTGAATCTGTTCCTATAAGCCTAATTATTAGTGGTGTAAATAAGTTATCGGTTGAAAAATATTTGTCATTTCTTCAATTTCGGGGTTTCATGAATTTTTACACGTGTATTTAAAGGGGAGTTGTTAAAAGCAACGATGGGGTATCGGCGGAAAAATACACGACTCCCGATTCAGTATTTTTTTAAAATCGACTCCGACTTCCATAGAAAATAAAATACACGACTCCCGACTCCGACTGTCTATCCCTGGTTAAAAGTACACCAACGTTCACAAGAGGAAAAGAGGGAATCAAAAGTAATTCAAAAACTGTACACGTAATTAATGAACAGAACCTAAATTCTATTTCGTTCCTGATTCACTAGTCAGATTTGTTTAGAAGTTCATAAGTCTTTCTATTGAATTAATTCTTACTTTTTCTTAAAATTTTTGTCTTGATGTTCAATCTCAGAAAAATAAAAAGT